GAGCTTGTGATAAGGAGCCATCTGCTTTAAACGGTTTCTCATTCCTACTTCCCCAGCCCCCTTTTACAATGGCAGAACCGCAGCGTGTAAAAAACCATTTTTTTTTTAAACTAGCCATCTAATAATCTATTATAAAATCTTGCGAGGATTCTGACACAAGGTTTAGATATACTGGGGGGCCATCAGCTGTGCTTGGGGCAGGGAGGGGAGAAGAGAGGGTGAGAAGAAGGCTGCAGAGATAAGCTCGAAGGAATGTCGCTGCTTCCCTTTTCCAGGTATCCAGTGGGGTCAGAGAGTTTTTAATAATTCATTAATTTAGTTGCCCTGTGGGCATGGGGGTGAGCTTGGGCAGCATCTTGGGGTGTGCAGCCAGCCCAGATTCATCGTCTCCCTCAGCCATGCTTGGTAGCCTTCGCTGTTCAATGTGCTGCTTCATCCCAGCCTCCTGCCTGGCGCAGCCGGGCATCTGCTTCACCCTCAGGCTCACTGGGCTATTCTGCAGCAGTGGCAGCAAGAAGAAGAGAGTGGCGGTTCTGTTGAGTCCCTGGCTCTCGCCCCCTCCCCACTTTGGATCTCCCCAGGGTAGAAGTCTAGGTAATGTTTCTTGGGGGGGGGGAAGAAGGCGTGGGGGCAAGGGAGCAGCACAGGCTTCCATTGTCTCTGCCCCCTTTCCAGAGGGGCCGTTGAATTTCACCCAGGCTAGAGGGTTTGTCTGCAACGGGATGGAAGGTTGTTTCTAGGCAAGCAAAACAGAGCTTAAATCTCCCCTTGGTTTTATGGTGGTTGAACCTGAGGGCAGTGCCTCTGAGCGTGTCCAGAAGGCTGTTGCGGGAGGGATGGGCAGCTAGGCACCAGCCGGCACAGAGCCAAGACAGAACCAAGCCCCATCCAGTCCTCGGAGGGCCGCGCCAGAGAGAAGGCCCCAGTGCTCTCCGGTGAAGCCCTGGTGTTATGCAGCGCGTGTCACAAAAAGCTGCCCTCCTGCCGCGGCTGGGTGGTGCTCGCTTCAGGGCACGACGTGTGGTGAACCCAGGGCGAGTGGCTGGCTCAGCGTGCTGTGCAAACACAGAAAGTGGGTTACTGTCAAGCCCTGACTTAGTGGACCTTAAACCTAAGTGCCCATTAAATCTCTCTCGACTGCGTCGCGGGGAGGCTAATCGCTTGCTGCTGCTTCACAGCCAGTATCCGCTGGCCCGCCTGGTCTTCTGGGCACCTTCTTCCTCTCCTCCCCAGGCACGGGAAGCATGCAGAAAAACTGCCTGGCACTCACCTGGTAAACATTTAGTCTATTGTATTTGAAGTTCGCTAAACTCAGTGTAGTCAAATCGGAGGTTTGCTGTAATTCCTTAGCCAGCTGACTTCTGTTGTGTGCCTCAGTTTGGGTTTTGTTTTTGTGTGGCAAAGCTACAAAGCTGTGCCTCTTCCTGGGGTTTCATGAAGAATCTCCTTAGCTGGGGAAAGAGCCAGCAAAGCACCAATGGTGGCCTTGACACAGCCCAGCCTTCTGGCCAGGAGGGGCTCAGCTCTCTTGAAGGCAGGGCGGGGTTGGGGGGGCGGCGGCAGCAGCAGCAGCAGCAGGAGGAAGTGAGGAGTCAGCTGCTCCTTGGGTTGTAAAGGAAGAGTGAGGTGGCATCAGAACATTTGCTTGTCATTTCTGTCTTCTCCCCACTGAATGAGGCTCCTCTGATTCAGGTAAATAGTCCAGGGCACCCTTTGCCTCCTGGCTCCTGGGATCCCCCTCCCCCCAGCGAGGGCTTGGCTCCCATTTGGGCTGGACTCTTCCTCTTGAACTAAGCTGAGGTCTGCAATGGTTTGGGGGCTGGGGAAGGGGAGGGGAGGCCTCATGGCAAAGCTATAGCAGGGGAACCTCAGTCCAGCACACCCACCGCTTTGTGGTTGTGCCAGTGGCTGATCTCCCACCCCCTAATCTCCCCTGCCCCTTGATCTCTCTACCCACTTTTTGGCACCACTGAGCAGGAGAGGGGAGACCTGCTCCACTGAGGAGATGGGTACTGCCCAGCCTCTGCTGCCTCTTAGGGACTGGCCGCGTGTGCCGCTCAGCTGGGGCAGCCAAAGCCACGCCAAATGCACCTAGAGCTTGCCCACAAAGGTTGTCCAAGAGCCTGCAAGATGGAGTTGGGGAGGGCAGGAAGAAGGCTGATACCTCTGGGGTGGGAGGGGCTGAAGGCATTCCTGCGCAGAGGACTCCCCTGGCCCCACTGACACCCCAATGGCTTTGGACTGGGGTAAGAGCTGCTGGTCAGGTCAGCTGGGGCCAATTGGGGTGGGAGACCTGGCTCTGGTGGCAAATAAAAGACCCAAACAGTGAGAAAAGTTAAATGTAAAATTAATGATAAAAAGAAATATCAATGTGATAATTCAAAGCCTGGGAAAGGAACTACATCTATAGATATTCTAATTGCTGAGAGCATGGGGGGGGCAATATAACCCTTCCAGGGGGAACACATTTCACAGCCTGGCAACGGTGCTGCAAAGGGCCTCTCTCCTGTACCAGGAAAACTGCCTCTGGCCATGGGGCATCTTCTAAGGGCTGCACAGGTTGGAGATGGTTCAAGCTGGAACCAGCTAGGGTTTGAGGGCTTCAGGTGAACTCCAGCTCCTTGTGCCTGCAAGGATGACTTCTGGCTGTTGTCTTGGTAACCAGGCAGAAGTGGTCCACTGCCACCTTGGGGTGGGTTTTGAACTCTGCCGCGGACAACTTGGGGGCTTCCTGGTGCCCTCCATTCCAGTCCTGGCAAAGTGATCCTGCCTGGCATTTTGGACATTGGCCAAAGGCACCTGGACCTAAGGGTCAACACCTTAAACTGAGCCCTGTGAGCAACTGAGTAGCTGTGCAGCTCCTTCAGGGTGGGCACTGCGGGACCCCTTATCCCAATTAACAGCTGGCTGCTGCAGCTTCCGCACCCTCAGGGAAGCCCCATGTAGAGTACCTTGTAGTTGTCATGAGGGTGAAAGACAGTCTGATTAATTTGGGAGGGATCGTAGACGCTGTCCTCCGCCAGTCCAGCGAGAGCTGCGGATCACGGAGGATCCACTGGCGGTGCAGGGCCATCCCAAACAGGCTGCAGCTCAGTCCCCAAGCCCAGCTACCTACTCTTCACGAGCTGCTCTTGGTTGCTGTTTCTCATCCAGGTCATTTCTGAGCCTGGGCTGCAGCCGGCCCCCCATCATCCAGTCAGCTAAGGGGCAGGGGTGGCCCAGCCCTCCCACCCAAGCAGCTCATTGCTTTCTACTTTTCTCCCCTGCTCACCCCCACCCAGAAAGGAGGGAGGAGCCCAGCTCCACACACTCTCCTCCCCCCCAAGGTTCTGGGCCCTCCCCCTGTTCCAAGTGGTAATTGCCTGCGGGTGGGCCACACCTGGGTCAGGAGGCCATAAAGAGGCAAAGGCTACTTAAGGTGCAGGGTGGGCGTGGAAGGACAGTCACCACTCTTGGTTCTCCCCTGTCGACCCCAGCAGCTGCCATGGCCGAGGAATCGCAGTCTGAGACGCTTCTCCTGAGGGCTACTGAAGAGCCTTCCTCCGTGCACTCTGTCCTGATGGGTAGGCTGTTTTCCCCCACCCACACTTTGGTTTTGCTGACGCTTCTCCACACCCCCATCTCTACCCGTGGTGACCCGATCTCTTCCTCCTCCAGTCCTAGGAAAGCTCCTCTTTGCTGTGCTGGCTGTTGCAGGAATTGTCATTGGTGAGTGGAATCTTCGCAGGTTCCCTGTCTCCCCCCTCCCCTGCAGCCCCTTCAGCTGGTCTGTTTTCCCTGCTCCTTAATGTCCCCCTGCTGTTGTGGTGGCTAAATCTTCTGCTGGACCCACTCTGGAGCATCTGTCTTTGTCCCCTGCAGACGTTCCTTGGAAGAGCACAGCTTCCTTGTATCAAAGTGGCTTGATCGCCTGCTTTGTACCACTGGCTAAGCCAGTATTACTTCAGTCATAGGTTGTTGAAGAAACTGAGAAACTACAACAGCTGTGGCTGATAGAACCCAAACCATGGCTTACAAAGCACGAGTGGCATTGTGCCTCGATGTGCTCCATGCCACAGGCCTGCCAGGTGTAGTGCTCAGGAGGGCAGGCTGGAAGGGGCTGCTCTTCCAAAGAAGCCAGTGTGGAGTGGCCCGGCGACTCAGACATCCGCCTTTGCTTCAGGCTGTGTGCCCCTTCATCTCCCCCCTCCCAGACCTGGAGCTCCTTGCCAAGAGGCTCGGGCACAGGGGCAGGTTTGCTGGCCGTCCTTGCTGTTGGATTGGGGTAGTCAGCTGCATCCGAACTGGGCATGGACATTGCCTTGGCTGCTCTTCTCCTGAGCTCAGGTGCCACCTGTACGTGCATGTTGCACCTCTCCCTGGGCTGGGTTACAGAAGCCGACTGGAGCTGTGGCCAGCCTGTAGTGGGAAGTGGCAAAGGCTGCCAAGCTGCCTTCCCAGTCTTCAGGAATGGCCTTTCCCATGTGGGCTCCCCCTTGATACAGGAAAATACTGGGGGCTGTGGCCAGTGGGAGGGATCTGTGCTCTGGAGAAGCAGGAATCTGAAGTGCTGATCTGTTGCTCCTCCATCTCCAGGAATAGTCTACTTCAGCCAGTGTCCCCGGCAGCCTCCCCTCCCTGTTTACGTGGTCATCTTGGGCATTGTTACGCTCTTGCTCCTGTTCCTGAGCTGCATTCCCTGCGGGGACGGCACCAATCGACCAAGCACCCTACTCAGCTGTTTCCGGGCAGCTGGTTTCCTCTTCCTCTGTGCCTGGTTCATTGCAGGTGAGTGGGGGCCCTGAAGGGGAGCTGCCTAGCCTGGGGTCCTCTCCCTTCCAGGGAGGTGCACGTAGCTGCATGGCCTGTGGTCTTTAGCCAACGGAGCAGCCTGGCTGTGGTGGCCAGAGGGTTTGCTCTACTGGAGGCTGTTAACCACCGCTGGCATGGCTTCAGGTTGCACTGGGGCTGGAGAAAGGCAGCCTACCCTGCCCAGAGCAGTTAGTGTGCTGGAAATAGCTGTATGCCTCCACCCCCTCCCCTCCTCGTTTAGCCAAAGGAACCTACATTGAGAGATGCTAAAGACTGCCAAGCCTATTCCCTGCTTTCAGGAATGTCTCTCTCAGTCCACATGGACTCCTTCATGATACAGGAAAGTACTAGAGGAATTGGGGGTCCCTAAAGCAGATTGCCCCAAGATGCAACACTCTAAACTTAGGTAAGCGAAGCTGCTGGAGTTTTCCCGCAGGCTGGTGAGGGAGTCAAGCAAATTAATAGGATCCTTCCAAACCTAAACTCAACCAGAATTTTTATTGAAAGCAGTGAGAAACTTTTGGATGATTATATAATTTACATTCATGAAATAAGCATTTTCAACCCAAATGTGATTTTAAAACTCTGGAGGTGTAGGCATGCTGCAGAAATGTGTGAAAGGTGGACTCCACCACACGTCCTTTACAGAGAAAAGTTGGGTTAACTCCAGCAGCTGTTTCTGAGCCCGGACCGAGCAACGGCTTGATTTAGAGGCCCTGAATGTGGGTTATCCAAAAGGAGCATGAGCCTTTAGCCCCTTCTGACCACTTTCTTTCCTCCAACAGGTAACGTGTGGGTCTACTCTATCTACCCCCCAGATTACGAGGCCGTTGGCCATCCCGACTTCTGCCAGCGGACTCTCTTCCTCTTTGCCTTTGGGGTCACCACCGCCATCCACATGGCCTTGGCAGTGGCGCTGCTGCTGGCTCTGGGCATTCTTGCAGTCATCCTTATCTTGAACGCGATGATGCCCTATGGTAGGCACAACTGTCCCGGGGGCCCATAGCAGCTGTGGGGTGTCTTTGTTCTTAGTGGACCTTTTTGCTAATAAATCTCGGTGTTGCTAAGCTGCGTCGTCCTCCCACTTGGATTTGGGCTGAAGCGGTACTAGAGGGGCTTTGGGGAGGTTGGACGCCACCCGGTTCCTGGAAGCCGGGCTCGGCAGGGCGGAGCTGCCGAGCTGGCTCTCCTCCGCGGCTGGCTCGTGGTGGGGAACGGGAGGACCGGGGCTCGCGGAGACAGCACCCCCGCCGCTTTCCTCCCTCCCCACTGATTCGCAGCGCCCGCGCGCGCTGCGTTTCCCCGCTCCGAGGGGGAGGCTCCGCT